AGAGAAAGAATGTGAATGTTTAGGCTTTTATGATTAGGTGGGGGCCACTAGAGGCTATAAGAGTTTGATCAATGCTCCACCATTTTGAGATCTGATGCTGTCTGCGTACGGTGTCCGTCTCCCACGCGTGTGATCATTAAAATCATCGTTTGACTCAACCCGGCCGGACCAGTGTTGTTATTTTGGTTTTTCCTCTTGTATCCATCCCCAATATTTGAATCCGTAACAATGGGAAAACAAACTGAGTTCTTCCCTTCAAGGTTTTGGAGAACTGATAACAGATGCCTGCCTTTCTGCTGAAATTACAGAGTGCAGGAATGACACATCTCTTTGTTCTTCTGGTGTGGATCTCTTGGCCTTTCCACGAAAGAACAGCACATACACAGTACATGCATTTATAATAAACTCACAAACCTTATAGGAGAATTTTCCTTGCATGTGTTTGTACAAAATGATGTACAAACTTTAACTGCTGAACCTTATCTTACATTCACATTCTGAAAAAAAGTGTTTAAAATGTCGACAGAAAAGACAATTTTTCCATGTTAAGGTCCAGATTGCAGATGCGTGGTGTAAACATTTGAAACCAAAAAACAGGCAGCTGAGTTATAAAATTAAGCATTTGTGTTTTTGATGGGATGTCTTTATCAGAGAGTATTTCTTACCTGTTTGCAGATGTAAAGCTTGGACAGGTGCTTTGTGTTTACTTTTGGCCTTCTAAAGAGAGGCACCAGGTGCCACGGGGCAAAGAGCCACAGGAAGCCCAGAGGTATCCAGACAAGAACTGTCTGTTCCACACATACTGGGATGTCTGGGTCTGGTCGCTCTAGATATGAAGCATTCTGAAGGGCACATACACACACACAAACACACATGCATCACAAAATCCTGCTGGCAAATCTCATCAATCTCCCACCAATATTAAATCACAGACACAGACTCCGTTTATCACAGATTAAAACGTTTAATGTGTAAAATTATTTTTGAAAAAGTCTAGAAATGGTTCGAAGTTTAACTATCGTCAGACCAAACAGTTCAAACTAGAAGTATAACATGGTAGCTTATGTGAAAAAAGCAGCAATCCTTACCATTTTGTGTTTTCTTTTTGAAGGTGGCTAACAGCGATACATAACTCTTTTAATGGCTAATGTATTACTGTATTGAAGCAAACATCATGTGACTGAAGCGACACATATCTGAATGTACTTTAACAAGTGTTTTTATTTAAAAATCTATAATAACACAGAATTAAAGCTGTGGCCGAGTCACAGGTTACGTCATGTCCTAGTGATTACTGGCCTGTCACATATTTACTATGTGTAAAGGGGAGGAAATGCTGATGCTGCTTATGATAAAATTCTGTATAAAACTTAATCATCTATTTTTCTGTATTCTTGGAAAATCCACTTCATGCTTCCTATGAAAAATAGGAAGCACAACCTTCTATAATGATAACAATGAACAGCTGTTCATTATTGTGTAATCTTTCTGACAAAGTCTTCAATGTATGCTGCCTTTTAATCTGTCTCAAATAGGTTAGATTTTCTCTCTTGTCATACAGTAGCATAGAAAGAAGCACAGAAAGGACTTCAAACATCTGGCTACACTATGACATCAGCGGGTTTCTGGCATGATGTTTTAAGATATTGTGTCTATCTTTTGCAATTCTCAACTTATTTTCCAGACAATTTACTTTGTAGGTTACTAAACATATGTGTTTGCATCAGCTTATTGAGTGATTTTCAATCTCAAGAGGCTAAAAACACTGGAGGCCACAGTGAATCAATTTACCTAAATTCTTCAAGTTTTCCTCAATTCTTAAAAGTTACTTTTTTACTTCTTAGTTATTTCTGTTTGTTAAACTCACCCAAAAAATGGACCCACAGTACTCCTCCAGAGCTGCCGCACACATGCTTTACAGTGATGGCTTCAGTCAACCTCAGCTGACCGGACAACCCGACGCCTCTCACCCTCTGCTCCGCTACTGCCGCGTTTGACTCAAATACTGCTGCTTTCTCCTCTGTCCGCCCACACTCCACTGACAATTACAGGATGTGGCTGTGAAGGACTTTGATCCATGAAGCTTTTAAGCTGAAAGAAAAAGTTGCTTATTCCCTCTGCAGAGAAAAGACACTTATACTGGATTGGTGTAAAGAATAGAAGAACTGATAGTCATGTCCCGAATGCTGATTTCTTTCTTTTTCGGCAGATGTTCTTTAGTTGGATAACAGTGTCTTCAAAAAGTCTACTACAGCTCTCCTAATGAGCCACTGAGAACATCCAACAGATTTAGCAAAGTCATTGAGCATCGAGCTTTGCACCAGCACAAAGACACTCCTCCACACTCATGTGTTTAAAGTTCAACATGTCGTGCAGATGGGTTTCTCACAAAAGAGAAGGCCTTGCATAAGTCTTACCATGCAGTTTTTGCAGTGTTGGGGGACAGCCCACCAAAGGGCATGTGTTTCAGGAAAGGGAGGGAGTGGTCTCATTAGACCCCTTTTCCTGTTATGTTTCCACTTCTCCTCAGCACGTCTTCACTGTCTTCTGAACCGAGACTCATTTGTGGAACAAAAGTCAGATTCAATCGGATCAAAATCAATTTGATTAGATTTGGGTAGTCATGCATTTGAATGAGGCTGCTGAAGGTTGAAGCTGCTGAACTGTAAACAAGCTGCAGGCTGACAAACTGCTAACTAGTGAAGCTGTTTCTTTCTCGTTTGCTGTTTTTTGTGTCCCATTCTGATCAGGGTGCATGCTCCAAAAACCAAAGAGCAACGTAAGATTGAGTATAGATTAATTTTCATTGTCTGCGCTCTGCAGAAATTTAACTAAAGGTTGAGAGCGTCTCTGGAGGAGCAATCAAGCTTTTACAGCTTAACAAAAAAAAGCTTTTGTGCTGCTGTCAGTTGTGTTGATGGACTATTTTTGTAGGAGAATTTTTTCTAGGCACCAGAGACTCAATCACCCATAAAATGAAAAAATCATCGCTGCTAATAAGAGTGAGTCTGTCTACACAGGAGGATAAAAATGAAACTACTTAAGATTAAGAATAATCAATAGGTTTTGACAAACCAATAGAAGTTATGTGTTATGCAAACCTCAGACACTTCTCAAAACAGCAAGAGAAAACACAAAATCACCTTTGAACTTCACCTCTGTACATACTCCTAACCATGCTCGCAACTAATGGCAGACCAATAAACAACTTGGTAAACAAGATTATCAGTGAATTTTTCAATAGAGACTTCCTAAATTGTAGTTGCAGTTAAATGAAGAATCAGCATGACACAGGGAAAGCACGTTAAGCAGGGAGGTTATTAAAGCGCGTGACAACACACAAGTGTGTGTGAGTCTTTTACTGATTGCAATGGTCCTAAAACTGGTTAATTATTAAAATGTCTGGTAACATCACATGACTCATTGGGTGTAAAGCATCAAGGACAGCTATGTTACACGTGAAAACAACTCATGCATGTCGTTATCCAGTGTTTATCCAATTACATTGACAAGGACTTGATTTTAAGATATCTGTACAAAGGGTAGGACACTCACAGCAGGAAAAAAAGACGCAGCTTTTTCAGAGAAATGGTAAAGCTGACTGTAGCAGATTTTAAATATGATAAAAGTAAAACTCAGAGATGTAGATGAATATTTGAATAAAAAAAACCTCTTCTCTGACTTTAAAAACTTTTCTGGTTCCACTTATATATGTACATATATACACACACATATGATTGTTTTATCTGTCATCAAAACTCAGATTAGCTTTCCTTTCTACTGACACGTAGACTAAACTATTATCAAAAATGTACTTTAATAAGAATAATCACTCTGTACTGCCCTTATAATAGAGGATAGAGCGTTTTGTTCACTTGTAAAAAACTTTGTCTCTGACCAGACGCCACCAGCTGATAAGCAAAGATAAGCCAAACAACAACAGAAATGTCTGTGCAGTGTGTCAAAAGTCAAATAAAAACAATTAAAGAAACTAGCTTTTAATATTTCAACCAAGTCAAATCATTTTAGGGAAAGTTTTGTGCATAATGCATAATATTTTTTTAAAAGACAGAAGATGTAATCTAATATGAAAACTGTTTTTATTAAAAGAAGAAGAAGAAGAAGATGAAAATGAACAGAGAAAAAACAAAAACAGGAAGTCACAACTGTGCATTATGTATCACTTTAAATAGGGAGTTATGTAAAACTGATATTTTGTTTTGCCATTTTAAAAAGCAGTTATCTTTCATTAGGGAAAAAATACACATTTTCAGTGTAGAAATCAACTGTAGTTGAACATACATGGGGGCATTACTGTAGCAAGGTCATTTGTTAGTGTGCAGAGAGGTGTGAATCTGTTTGACCTGGATTACTCTGTTTTATGAATGCCTATAAAAAAAAAATAAAAAAAAAAAAAATCTATTAAGATGTGAGACCAGAGGTTCATGACTGTGTAAAATAACAGTTTGTGCATACATAGATCATCAAAACAAATTAAAACTACAATGAAAAGTTTTTACCTGTGTAAAAGACTCAGTATGTGAATTATACACTAATAATAAAAAAAGAAGAGTACAAATGGCCTTATTATTATTGAAAACTTTACAAACTACACATTTTTTCAGCTTCTTATACTCCTCACAGCTGAGGGGCTTTTTAAACATCTCATATTTACAGAATCTTTTACACACACACACACACACACACCCAAAAAGTGAACTTTTACAGATTTGTGTACACATCTCCTGTATGTTTAAATTATTAACATATTTTAGCAAACCTGTTTTCCAAATCCTATAAATCAGACTGCACATTCAGACACATGAGTAGTTCTCTATGCACATTATTGGATGATATCACTAGAGAAGTGCTCCCATATATAGACATCATATTATTCACAGATACTCTGTGAGATGCATTAATGTCTTTGCTCTTTAACTGGACAAGGACTGATTCATTGGTGATTTTATATCTTAAAAGAAAAAAACAAAAAGCAGAGCTTTCTGGCGATTATGACATTTATTTATGGAATTTAATCAGTACACATCAGTATTATTACTCATGATTACTTTTGAGGTATTTTTTTTTTCCAGTCTATCATGACTGTTATACAGTCACAAGGTATTTTTGGCTATTGCGTTTAGAGTTCGGACTTTGCTCACATCTGCCACCTTCAGGCCGTACTCAGGTGCTGAGAAAGAAGCTCCCATTGAGACGCAGGTGTTCCTGCACAACGTCAAGAGAAGAGAAGAAGAAGAGAATTATATAGAAAAAATAATAATTAGATCGACATGAGGTTGCAAGAAGTCTCCTAATGCATGCAACCAAAGGGACAGATCCCACCTCTCGCCTGAGACTGGAAAATAAACACACCTGAACTTCATTGCAGATTCCCGGCTGGAGCGGGCTGAGCAGTGAAACTCTTGAGCCCCTGACCCCTCTAATATTCTCTGTAGGTTCCTTTCTGTGATGCCTCCTCCTGTTATCAAAACAAAAACAGTGACAGTGAATAAATAAATAAGGTTGTAAAAATTCACACATAAATAACAAAGGAGCAATGGCGGAGGCACTAACCAGGCATTATGATAATTCTGCCCTTTGCCTGTTGAGTAGAAATGATGTGAAAATTAAAGGTTTTATGAAAGATCAAGAACAATAACCTAACAGCTATTAGAGTTTCATATGTCTGCATGTAAAGAAAGACAATCATATGGGTACACGTACTTGATCAACAAGCCGTTTAATGAGAGGCAGTCCCTCCAAAGCGGAGCTGTCACAGCCACTAGTCAACACACGCTCGAACCCTAACGATATCAGCGCCTCCAGAGCTACTGCTGGGTCATGAACCATGTCAAAAGCTGCAGTAGGATCATGATTAGTGTCATAATAAAAGCCCAGGCTTAATAATATATCATTAAGACGTTCTATACCTTTTCGGAGCTATACCTGATAATAGCATTATGTAAGGCTTTTATTCCATTAAGAATTTGTGATGCTTTTTAAGTGTAACTGTAGCTGAAAAGAATTTTAAAAGCTTAAAGCTGAAAAGCACTTTGAAGAAGAAACTTTTACCTCGGTGGAAGGTGACAGGCAAGGGACGGGCAGCAGCTAGTGTGCAAAAAAGTAAGAAAACAAAAGAAAGAAATGGAAAAGTACAAAATGTCAAACAAAAGTGCAAAACTGTGAAATACGACTTGTATAATATAAGCAATATAAGCATTTTTTTTCCTACCTTTATGAAAGCCATCACTCATAGCCAGCTGTACTGCTATACTCTATATCAAAGATTGTTGGCTTCACTTTTTTATACTGCATATTGCAAGTAACAATGCAAAGATAGTGATAAAAACTTGAGAGAATATATAGTGTCTGATTTTTGGAGGTTAGCCCTACCATGTTCTGAGGTCTCAGTAGGACCTTTGGAAATATGATGCTGGTTGATTTCGCTTAACATGGGTCACAACTATCTTGTGGAGATGTAGTGCATTTCCTTCTCTGGAGAGCTGACATATGACGGGCTACATGAAACCTTGTGTGAGATTAAAACTGGATTACCAAGCCTGCTGTAACACGTCTTTACCTGTGCATCTTCATAACAAGTGGTGTCCCATAATAAATTAGCTATATTTGCATAGTAAAAATACAAATATTGGATACTCAAGCCTACTAGTTCAAACTCTCTGCACTCCTGACAACCTGTAAAATGTTCCTCTTTCACAAAAACAAAATTACTGAAACAAACTGGTGTCTGTTTCAATGTTATCCCTTAACTAACGGCAAAAATACAGAGCAAAGTGTCCATCAGCTGATTGGATGATTTGAACTTTTCTGGTATGCTTTTCCATACATGTGAATGGGTTATTCAGACCAAAACAATGTAATTTAATAAATGTTTTGGAGGTAAGCGAAACAGTGTGCAGGAGTTACATTCAATTGTTTTGCACACTATCATGTCTGCACCTCCTAATACAGTTTCCGGAAGATCTTTTGTTGATCCCTTAATAAATAATTAACCCAAGTTAAGGTCAAACGCTCATGTTTAGACTGCAAGTGCTTTAGGCCTTGTAAATTATTTGTTTTCTTTTTAAGTGAAAACATGTGAAGAATGAAGGGTCCAGAAATATTGGCTCTTGTGTGTTTTGCCAGCTTTTTCAGAACTTTACAATTCAACAGCAAGTTCATGTTTATTTTTCTTTTTTGTGGCTAAATAAAAGGTGCCACGCTGAAGGAAATGGAAGGAAATCTGATGTGACTTGATTAATATAGAAATAGTCCCGATCAAAAGTTTGAGACCACTTGAAAAATGGCAACAATGGCCTGTTTCAGTTTAACCGTTGTTTTCAATAAATTGCAATCTCAAATAAATGTTTTGTCTCACACCCATTTCTTCTTGTTGCATGTTGAAGCTCTACTTGGAAGCTTGTTAAGACCCAACCATGCAAAATATTACTTTTTGCCATTTTTCAGCATTTGATTGGGACTGTATTATGGATCTGTCTTATCATTGAAAAGTGACTAAAAATCTTGGACATAGCAATGACATTTCTGTGGCTTCTACACTATTGTGATAATATTTTGCCTTTCTGACTTGCATTTCATTTTTTAGGAAAGTATATTTACAATATTGCAGTATTGGAAACAATCTGGGGATACTATTTAGAATAAATCACAAGTCTCTACAATATAAACCAGAAATATTTAATTTTAAAAGAAGGCATATGTTTTTGTGTACTCTTTCTAAAGGTTGATGGTGTTTCCTCAATCTATCGAACTCATAGATATAATTCTTATAACTATTGGTTTATTTTTAGTGTTACTGTATATATTCTGTCTGGCCTTTTCATTGTTATTTAGAGTGATGTAACAAATCAGGTCAAATATATAAAGAGACCATACCCAATAACTCCATGCAGAGCTCTGCATCCACCCGTCCATCTTCTGTCAAGGCACCCAGAACGAGCCCATCGGCTCCTTGGCTCTTCATAAGCTCTATGTCCTTTCTCATCACGTCCACTTCAAGGTCGGAGTACAGGAAGTCGCCCCCACGAGGGCGTATCATTACATAGATGGGGATTTTGACATACTGCTTCACTACATGTAGCACACCTGGAGTAAAGTACAGGTGGAATTATGTGTCATGCAACAAATGCCCAGGCTTCCTATATAAAATAGGATAATGCTTAGTACAGACTATGGACTACTGAAGACATAGTTAATTGGGTTCAAGTTATAAAGGCATTATATGTATTTATATGAAACTCTGCGAATCAGAGGGTGGAATAAAATTGTTCAACAGTGGTTGCTGTATTGGACTAAACACAGAGAGTAGGTATGTATATTACACAGTCATAATAAACTGGTATGGCACAACGTAGGGGAAGCAGCGGAAAAGAGAACATCAAAAGTAATAAAAACCAATAATAGACACGAATAGACATAACAGCCAAAATAAAACTCTCCACAGCACAAGCAACATCCATCATGTCTCTGACTTTATCCCACCAAACTGAACCAGTATGACCTTCAGAGACATGATGACAGCAAACCTGCAGAGAGGGCGGTAAGAACGACAAGGATCTACACACTTTAATGCTTTTCTTTCATGAACTGGGCTGCAGTCACATAGAAAGAAATTGCTTAGGAAGGTTTCTAACCGACTGAAGTGTGTCTAGGTGGCATAACAAGAGCCAATCGAGTTCTCTAAATACTAAGAAAAGGTTTTTATTCTTTTATTTTACCTCTCTTAGCAGAGGCTGCATCAGAGCAGGCTTTATGAAAGAAAAGGACATAATGACATCCCATAATTCAAAGAGATACACTACCTGACTATTATTAAAAACAAACATAGCCATAATCGACATTATGTCATAGTCTGCTGATGTTTAGATTTGTTAAAGGGTATATAAACCCACAGGTGACCTCTAAACATCATACTCCTACTTTTGAAGTAGAGCTGTGTGTAAGAACAGTCAAATTCTATGTGCATCCTGTTCTTTTTTCCTAAGTCCTTATTAGATCTCTTTTTCCATGGAGGTCATAGTAATGTGATTGAGAAAGGGTAGAAAGTCTTTTTGACCCAAGCCTTGTCTGTTAAATAGTATTTAAGGATTTTCCAGAAGATGGCAGTAATGCAACTTGGCAAGTTCCAGTTGACTAAAACCTGAAAGATCTGCTGGCGCCTGATGCGACAGCTTTTCTTTTCTTTTCTTTTGTTTTTTGCTAGGGGTATCTGCAGATGCTCACCTAGACTCGGAGTGAGCCCACCCTCCAGAAGACTAGAGCACAGCTCAAGTCGACCCGCACCTGCCAGGACAGACAAGTTCTGATTACACCTATATAGACTTTTACAGCCTGTAATCTTTGAGGAATTAAATAACACTGCGTGCCAATTTAATACTCATGGTAGAGATATGTCTGAGCTAACACTTCAATATTATGCAACCGTTAACTCTGTTTTTAAGTAGAACTGCCTGTGCATGACCAATCTAGCAAGCACGCCACAGTGAGTTTAATAATAGTACGGCATGACAGTGTTCACTACTGTTCACTTTACTGACCTCCTCGTTCAGCATTGACAGCAGACTCCACTGAGTCCACGCACACCTCCATTAAAAAGCACTCTGCCATACTGACAGTCTAATAAGAGACAGGAATACAGTTAGTGAGCAAACAAGATTACGTGAAAACTCCTCAGTTAACACGTTCATTCATCTTTAGGTTTTAACTACTACTACAGCTACCTGTTAAATCCACGTCTTATCGACTCATGGAACCGTATCAGTCGTTTAAAAACGATATGAAGTCAGGTCATGTTTTGTGAGACTTACTTCAGCTCATACAGCTAGTCCGTAGATCACCGTTTTCCGGGTCGTTGAATTCAAAACACGCGATTAGACGGGTGATAATATATAAACGTTTTATGATGCATTACTGGGCGAAATGCGACGTATGCCCGCCCATGCAGGATACGCCTGAAGACAAAACAAGCCCCCCTCCCCCCAAACGTTCTAGTCTGTGTAATATAATTTCGAAAGCCTGGTATATTATTTATATGTATATATATTTTGTTGTATATATATATATTTATTTATGTTGAGTATGTTTCGTTCCTGACAAAGAAAAAGACATAAATTTTATTTAGTGAGTAAATTTCTTGTGACGTCAGAAGGTCAAAGTTGAAACTGGCCGTTAGGAAACCAGCCGGGTGACAGCACAGTAACAAACGTGCTGAAGCTTTTGCAACACTGTTGGATAGCTTCAGCACTAGCGACGAGTCTTGGAGCACAGAGATGTTAATTTCGTCGTTGCGGACAACAATTTTTTGTGGGTGCAGAAGTGCTGGAAAGGGCTTTCAGTACAGCACCGTGAGTATGACTTGTGTTAGCCGCTAATTTTAGCCAATAGCTTAAGTAAGCGTCATTGGGAAGGTCACACGCTGCCAGTAATATACACAATATGTCACATTACACATCTGTCAGCTGCTCTTTGTTCAGCTTTGTTTTTAATATGTGTTTGAATTAGTTAGGACAGGTAACATTAGGTGTTTAGGTGTACTCAAGAGTAGTCACGTCCAACAGCTAACTTACATCACCCATGTCTAGGCAATGCAAACTCTTAGATTAGCATTTGAGCTGAAAAAATAAATTCAGAATGGAAGAACTAATATCATAGACCCTTTAAGAAGGTTTTTGATTTATCAGTAACTAAATTTTCAGAAAAGATAGTGATATCAAATTCAGCAATACCGTAAGCCTTTGTTTATAAGCTTGAAGTAAAGTAGGTTAATTAGCTCTTACATATCTAAAACTATAGAATCACCTTACATGTGTTGTGCTTTCGTAATTTGTTAACATGCTGCTTATATGCGAGTATATGTGTGTGGTGCACTATATTGGAGGACAGCTAGACACTGGTGAGGTGTGGGGTAGCAGTGACAGATGGGTTCAAGGTGGGGGTGTCACTGCATCCAAAGCCACAGTGAAGAAGAAAGTGCAGGCAGTCGTGGGTGTGGGTGGAGACCAATGCCAGGGGTGATTTGTGACAGATAAGATAAACCTTTATTAGTCCCACATGTGGGAAATTTGTTGGGTCACGGCAGAAAGTGGACAGTGCAAAGTTACAAGCAGCAAAAATTAAGAAAATCAGTGGAATAGGATAAAAGGAATAACATGCAATATAAAATAGAATAAAATACTATGTTTCGTCAGATAAATTACACTTAGTGGTACTGCACGTGTGTGTGTGTGTGTGTGTGTGTGTGTCTGTGTGTGTGTGCGTGTGTGTGTGTGTGTGTGTGTGTGTGTCTGCATGCATATGTGTGGTCATCCACAGAGTCTTTGTTGTGGAGTCTGACAGCAGATAACAGGAACAGCTCAGGTTGAGCGGACAAAATTAAAGAATAAAGGTTGAGATGGGTTGGACATGTGCAGAGAAGGGATAGTCGATGTACTGGATGAAGGGTGCTGAGTGTAAATGACATTTAAAATGACTTTTTTTTTATTTTTATAATAAGGTAAAGTTGAAGCTTTAATGCTTGTGTTGTCCATCATCATTTCAAGCCACTTCTCCCTTTTATTTACATTAGCGTTCACCACTTCGAAAATGGCTCTTGAAGAGAGGTCACAGCACCGTCACAGTGGAGGGAGGAACGTCCACTTCAGCAGCAGCAGCTTCTGTCCCCAATGCAGCCTCAAATCGCATAGTGGGTCGATGGTTACTTGGCTGCAGTGGACTGGTGGTTGGGGCTATTGTCTTGGGTGGTGTCACAAGGTACGCATGTTTTAAAATTAGTATGTCTGTATGTGCTACTTACTCACTGAAGTACTGTTAACAGGCATTTACTACATTGCTGTATTTTTATGTATTTTTTTTTTTTATTAGACTGACAGAATCTGGGCTTTCCATGGTTGATTGGCATCTGGTGAGAGAGATGAAACCACCACAGTCAGAAGGAGAGTGGGAAGCTGAGTTTTCAAAGTACCAGCAGTTTCCAGAATTCAAAATGTAAGGTCTCATTTTTCAGAATCACAGTACATAAAGGCCTGATAAATTTAATTAAATGTGTCTCTGTGTTATGTATTGGTCTGGCCTCTAATGCGGCAATGAGTTAATTTGGTATTATTATGTGTTTTGTTTGTTTAGATTGAACCATAACATGACTTTGCCAGAGTTTAAGTTTATCTTCTACATGGAATGGGGACATCGTATGTGGGGCAGGCTGGTTGGCTTGGCATACATCCTCCCTACTATTTACTTCTGGAAAAAAGGATACTTCACTCGCTCCATGAAGGGAAAAGTGCTGGGTCTTTGTGGATTTGTCTTCTTCCAGGTAAGACACAGCTGTGGAAATGAGAAGATCACTGGAAATAATCATTACCTCATGCCTGATTTAGACTTCTGCAGTGAATCTTTGTTGAGCCTACATCATAACCTGCAGAAGTAGCCATTAGTAAACTTATTTGTCCCTCAATGCTTTCTACCTCTTTGTGCATTCTCTCACTTATATTCTGGTAGTTGCAGCTTCTTTTCACACTGACATTGCTGACATTTCTGAGTCCTTATATTTTATGCTATAATTATCATTCTGTATATTGAGACGTTAGTCTGTCACTGACAAGTTTAAAAACTCCGGCGTAAAAGTAGCCGGAATTGTACAGAAGGAATCAGCTGTACTGAACAGGCTGCGTTGTTAGTTTCAGATGTGTTTTGGATTTACGTCATAGCTAATTCTCAGTCACTTATAGCATTGTTTTTTTTTTTCTTTTTTCTTTAAATAGGTTGATTGTACTAATATTTAATTATTGTCACCATCGGGTTTATTATAAATGTAAAGTAACGAATGTGTATACATGTGTTTGTTTTGTCAGGGCCTTCTGGGGTGGTACATGGTGAAAAGCGGGTTGGAGGAGAAGCCCGAGTCTCATGACATCCCTCGTGTCAGCCAGTATCGTCTGAGCGCCCATCTTGGTTCTGCCTTATTGCTCTACTGTGCCAGTATGTGGACAGGGCTTACTCTGCTGCTGCCAGCTCACAGGGTACAGAGGGACTCTTGCCTACAGAAAAAACACAAATGATAAATTTTGGAGAAATGTAAAGTGAAACAGTCTTTTTTTTTAACTTGAATAATGGTACCTTTTTCACAGATAGCAGAAACCAAAAAACTCATGCAGCTCAGGAGGTTTGCCAAGGGTACTGGTGGACTCGTCTTCCTCACTGCTCTTTCAGGTAATACTGGATCTTAAGAGAATTCAGTGTCACAAATGGGGTCGCAGAATCTGTCTACCGAAGTGCTGCTTTCAGTCTCAAGCCACTTTGGGGAAACAAAGTGAACTACCTGTAACTACAGCAAAATTGCACAGAAATTTCTCAAAAAGCAGGATGTTAATAGTGAAGACGACCATCATAGAATCATAGGTGTTCTTTAAAGTGGCACTTGTTCTGACAGAACATAGGAAGCTCTTGGTAGATGGCAATGATGCTAGAGGAGCAGTTAGAATTTGACATGTGCAAATGGTTTTCAGTCCCGGAAGAGTAGGAGTCCACAATACATCTTCAAAGTGTTCTGCTTATTTGCGTCTGCAAAAAGCACAATGTGTTACATAAAATTCTTCAACTGTAAATTCACAACAAGACTGACTAATGAATACTAGAGTGACAGTCACTCAGAGTCATTCATGGCAACTCACAGCTGACTCCATTAGAGTAACCCTAAGTGTATATAGTGTCACATTTCCTCTCTTAACAGGCGCATACTACGCCAGTCACCTCACAGTCTGTATGAAGCTTCGCACTTTGACTCTGAAACTTATGGTTTGAGGAAAGACATTTGGCCTGCTACCCCATGTAATGTTTTTGGGCTACAATTTGAGTACTGTATCTTGGCTTTTGGTAAATGTTGAAACAAAAAGCTTATTCATCTGGTTTGATTTTAATCGAAAGGTCTTTTGTAAAGTTGGCTCTTAGAGGGCAAATGGGTTGAGCGGCTGTGTAGAAAAGTAAAGTTAATGTAATTAAAGGCAATACAAATGTGGTTTAATCTCTATTCATGGAGATGTATTTGAATCATTTATGCATGTACCTTTACACAGGTGCCTTTGTCGCTGGTTTGGATGCTGGGCTTGTTTATAACTCCTTCCCTAAGATGGCAGATAGATGGATTCCTGATGATCTGCTGGCCTTCTCTCCGACCCTCAAGAATTTCTTCGAAAATCCCACCACTGTGCAATTTGATCATAGAATTTTGGTATGCTATTATAGCTAAAAAATGTTGGCATTTCATTGTTTTTATTCTAATTAAACATAATATTTCCAAGTTTTATAACTCTTTTAGATTGATGTGTAATGAAATGTTAATATGTACCCCTCAAGATGTCTTTTTCTTTTCTCAGGGGATTACTTCTCTGACTGCAATTACAGGCCTGTATCTGTTCTCAAGGAGAATGATGCTTCCCAAGAGGGCTAAGATTGCCATCAGCCTCCTGGCAGCAATGGCCTATACACAGGTAGGCTAGAAGACACTGTAATTGCTATACAAATAGGTCCATTACCCTTCAGTATAAACAAATTGTGCTTTTGTGCTTTTCAGGTTGCACTAGGTATCGCCACGCTGTTACTTTATGTCCCCACTCCACTGGCTGCAACTCACCAGTCTGGCTCAGTGGCTCTTCTCTCGCTGGCTATTTGGGTTCTGGCAGAGCTTCGCAGAATGCCCAAGTAAATTTCTGCTGTTTTACAGAGAAAACCTATCCCTGGTCGCTGCAGGTCAAAGTTTTAAGAGGCAGTAGTGAACTCGAAAAACATGAAACTGTGTTCTTTATTTAATGATGGACTTTTCTGTATATGCTGAAGCATCTGTTCAGTGGGGTATGTCAGCCCCCACTTAAAAAGCTCAAACAATTTCACCCCTGCACATTGCAATCTTTTTTTCCCCCAATCACGAGTAATAGAAATCACAATACAAGTTAAACTTTATTTAAATAAAGATAATATTCCTAAAGTGGGAAAAAAAGAAATCACATTCATTAAATTCAGTTTTACTTGAGATTTTTTTTCCACCGGTCATCCATGTCCCACTTGCTGTGCTCATGATACTTTACACAGGAGAGTCCTTAAAAAAAATATGCATCAAGGCCGTCATCAGAAATACACTCAAATGATTGCGAAAGCTTTTGCTGTCAGAGAAACCCAACTTGTGAAGTGTTTTGCTGTGCCAGGAATTTCATTAGAACATACGAAACAAAACAAAATTTTCAGCTTTAATAACCTGGCAGTTGAAGGCTGTGTACATGGTTTGGAGTCAGCTGGTTCTTCAGAAATGTAGACTGAATTACTGTATTTGTTGATGCTCACACTTTTAAAAAATGTTCTGGATGACATTTTGGTTATGAAATTGTCACATGGTCGGGTGAATCTGCATAGATACTACTGCCTGTTAGTGGAAGGAGACCTGGCTCCTGGGATGGTTTATGTAATTATGTATATTTAAGCTGTAAATGTTTCCTGTTGACATTATGATGAATCATAATTTGAATATTATTATGGACATTGCCTATTTCCCTTTTTTTGGACTCACAGATGTGGAAAAAGGGGGAATTTATGATGACTCTCCCAAAGCACTGAAAGTGTACCAGAATGAATAAAAGCAGGTCCTCACTTAAGCTGATATACACTGTTTTTTCCTGCTGTGACAGGTCAAAATGTCAAATGTTATTGCTACAGGTACTTTGTACTTTATCTCACTGAAAGGACGTATTTTAATAAAGACAATTTATGTATAGTCTGATAAATTCACACGCCAGTCCATTTTGCATAGTAACTGTGTTTTTTGTTTTTTTATTATCTCTGTACAAAATATACACATTTTGAATATGCTATGCAACCAGTTTAGGCTAGCTAGACAGTCAGTACCACGGGTTAGTAGGTTTTCATTGTTCTAGACACAGTACATGCGGGTATAGACAGGTTTTCCTTGTGTTTGGGGAAAATAACGTAACTGTGGGCAGGAACAATCAGAGCCAAACCATTCTTCCAGAACGTATAAATGTAAAAACTGCAGAACATAAAAAAATAAGAAATTGCAGGGCCGGAAGTGCATATTTTAACCAGGGCCGTTATAGTGTGCTCTGAGAGGAAGGAGACGTTGGGTGAGTGGAGAACATTATTGCTATTTCATGTTTGTTTCAGCTTTTAAGACACTTGGCCGATTTAATTACGGCCCGAGTGCCTCACATCATCTCACATTTGTGTTGCTTAGTTCTAGTGTGAAAAGAAGCAAATAAGTGGTTGCAAATTGCTCTAAAATAATTAATCTGAGCCTAATGGATGGGTTCACAACCTAAAATTGCACTTGACAGCGTGCAGATAAACTACATGTAGTCTACCTCTTATCTCTGATTGCCCCTTATCCAGCTTGATACCCAGTAACTCCCTCTGTCTTCAGCCACAGGTGGGCTAAATGTCTTGCCTTAAGTGGCTTTATGTACCTTTTTAATTGATATCTTTTCTTTGGTGTTACAGAGAGGGAGAATAAGAAATGGAGTGAACAATGGGGGCACAGAAAAAAGAAAACTGCTATCAAACTTTGTCTTCCCCTGCTACACACAATCACTTTATGCCTCCTTGAAATGGAAATAGTCAGATTTAATGCAAAAAGGGTGTGGGGACTTTTGTGTTTTTTCAAGTGGTAGAACCTGTGACAACCACATGACATTTCAGATTACAATAAGTTCACAAATACAATCTGCAATCTAATAATCTTCTCTTTGAATGTATATTCATAGACTAGTACGATTGTGGTATGTCATTCCCATGTCGAGAGAAGCTGCTAGGGTCAAAACGGCTCATTAAATTATAGTGCAATCCCCACATTGTACAGCCTAATATCACACCACTGGGAATGCTAGAAAATGTACAACAGTCAATAGACAACTACTGTTAGGATTGTAATAGTTTGGAAGGCCGGGAATTACTCTACCGAAATCTTGTGAATGAAGGTGGGTGTTGTGTCACAAGAGTCTTACATTTGTAAGACAGATGACATCTCCTGTTACACATGCACGCACACATACGCAAAGGGTGAGGCACCTGTGAATGACTAGGACAGCAGACAGACGAGCAGACTTTGGAGTATCTCTGTAAATACATAAGTAGATATTAGTGACATCATCATGCGATATTTAAATCAGTCCCTTGTGGAAAAAACGAGTTTGAAGCTCCCTCCGTAAGACGGAATCGCTCGGATCACCAGTTTGTTGGTTGCTCCCTCAGGAAGTGTCTTTTTCTCTCTTGTCCACCAGGTGGCTGTAGATTCATTTCTATTTGTATGGCCAGCAAATGAGCCATGAGTCTTAACGGCTCCAGGAAGGTGTTACCCACATCCGCAGAGGCAAGATCAGGTTCACAATGCCATCTCTCAGCCATTACGGAGGAAAGGGGAAAAGTGATCTGAGATCAGGGTTTTGGGAGAGCATCCTTCTTCTGAGTTCAACCATTAAAAGGCTGTGATAGTCCCTCCGTCAGCAAGAGCAATAAAAGTTCAAATAAAACAGGCAGGGGCTGGTTGGGTGTTAGGTGTGCAGGTGGCTGTGAGCCCACTGCTTGCTTGCTTTCTCTGTGTCTCTGGGATAAAACATAAGGTTCTGCATGATGAGGATGGGCGCTGGGTACTCTCCTTTGTTGCTTGGAGGAAGCCACTGGGGGGTCCAGTTAGAGGGAGGGGGCCCTCTCTGTGTCCTCAGGACTCAGCTCTCAACAGAGACACGAGCACAAGCTTGCAAGTCGGGAGACAGCCACACACACGCAACACACATGGAATCAGACTCTTTCTCTCTCTCTTCAATCCCGTATTCCTCTTACACACCCACACACACGTACCCCTCTCTGGTGCCAGTGTCCTCACTGGTCCAGATGTTTAGATGACATTGTCAAACAGCTGCATGGACTGCATGATGTTCTCATCCTACAAAGAGGTAAGAGATGTGCACGGGTTTATGTGCAATTTGTGGCTTTATGGAGAGTTATGTGCAGAAAATAGTTCTTGGTCAGGTGCAGTGATTTCCTAGAAAGAGCAAGACTAGATGTCTCCCCTGACTTTCTTTATGCTACAATTAGCTCTCTCTCCAGTTGTAGTTACATGATTAGCGTGGTGGGATTCTAAAGGAGTGCATTTCTAAAAATGTTTTCAATACTCCTTCAGGATTTGGAATGCTCTACCTTTTTGCAAGACTCAATGAATTCATCTATGGTGACCACCCCATCTTTATTCCGGTCCATTTTCTGAAATGAAAATACAACAACCAGACATTTATTTGGCTAACAGCATCATTGTTTTCCCCAAAACAATATTGGTGCCATCAATATTTTTCTGCTTTTAAACAATCATTAAACGAGGGGGAAAGAAAACATGGTTTTGTTTGACCTGGAAGAAGCTCTCCACATGTTCTCTTGGGGCATCGTCCTGCATGGTGGGGTACGTGTATTTCCCCATCATGTCATAGATGGACTTCATGATGTCCAGCATCTCCTGTAAAGTGTATCAAGAAACAGAGAAAACAGTATTGAGAATTTCCAATAAAAAATTATTTTTTTTTATTGTGTGATGGAAAATGTCATTGATAAATATTCTGCCAGAAATCTCTACATACTTGCAAAATATTGATAATGAGTAATCATCAGCAAGTAATCAACAAGACCAAGAAATCAACAAATCCAACACAATCACATGTGTGTTACCTCTTTGGTGATGCAGCCATCCTTGTTCAAGTCATAGAGGTTGAATGCCCAGTTTAACCGGTCATTAATGGTCCCTCTCAGGATGATAGACAGGCCAAATACAAAGTCCTGCAACAAAAGCGGGAACGATTTCCTGCATTGTGTTATCTTTACTTAAATGTTGACACAGTAAATAAAGTCAAACCTTTATCACAGCCTAATCTGGGTGTACAAATACATATTTGTGTGCAAACACAAGTGATGACAAATTTCAGAAGAGCACACATCTTCCTTTATTCCTCAAAAGAAGCTGATATGTAAGAATAGAATAGAGCTTACCTCGAAACTAACCGAGCCGTTTTTGTTCGTGTCGAAGGCTTCAAACAGGAAATGTGCATACATACTTGAATCTGCAAAGGTAGAGACTTACTGTAACCCGTGTGCCCTCAAAACATGTCTTTGAACAGCTGCGATTAGCAGCAGTCTAAATATAGAGTAGATATAAAAATAATTTCAAATACAACTGGAGGTGAGTGGTTAACATTTCATCAACCTAAATATTGTGAAATGAAAAATCACTTTGCCTCTCTGCAGTGCATATACCTCAGTCAAGCCGAGTAGACTTAGAGTAAGATAATTATATTTGCTTCACTGTCATGACAAAAAGCTAAATTAACATTAACAACTGTTGTTTTAATTTCATTTTGAAATAAATGAAACTACTAGCACTGTTGGACTTCTTCGTGCTTATTGCTGGGAGAACTCACCTCCCTGAGGGAAGAACTGGGAGTAAATGTTCTTAAAGTTCTCCTCATTTACCACACCACTTGGGCACTCCTGGGAAAAAAAAGAAAGAAAATACATTTAAAAAAATGTAAACTCATTAATTCCCATCTTGCACAGGATATGCACACATTCAACTAGAACCCCTGTTTTCTCACTGTCTTCTGTAACCAGACCTACATTTTTGAAGCCCCTGTAGAGGACTTGGAGCTCCTTTTTGGTAAACTTAGTTTGCTCCTGCAGCTTGTCCATGCTTTCAGGGCGATGGCACACAGTGGATAACTCAAAGTCATCTTCCACGCTGTCTGTGAGGGACAGATAAGTTTTAGTTAGCATCTACACCACATTAACCCCCAGTGTAGCCATGACCTGGCCAAGATATCTAGCTGAAGTTATCAAACAGATCTTGAGCTTATCATAAAGTTTAAATCTTTATGATATCTTGTGATATTTTAATAAATTAAACATAAACAAACACTATTTTCCATACATAGCTGTGAGATTACGCTAGAAATTTCCACACATCTTTGCAGCATCTTAAGTATTATCTGAAAAGCTGAAGCACACTACAGACAACGAGTGGCCTGTGAGGAAGTGGAAGAAGAGGTTTATCATTCGTAAAAATGGAAGAGACATTTAAAAAGTTCAAAGTAAAGACACTGCCAGATATTTCTTATTTCATTTGCATTCTAGCTGGAACCTATTAGCTTGCACCTGACTTTGACCTCTGTACTGTAAACATGGTATTTCTGGTATATTACATACCAACACACACACATTCCAGTACCCAAATATATGGCACACGCCTCAAATCACAAAAAGAAAAACAGCTCTGACCCACAATCCACAACACCAGATAGTTGTAGAGTTTTTGGAGTCTGTAAGGGTGTATGTAGATTTATGTGTAGCCTGAATGTTTTGATGTGACTTTATCCACACGAGCGTCTGCGCCAGTCTTCTCAACTGACTAAAGAGGCAAGTAGGAGAAAGCAGAGATGTATAGAGTGAAAGAGCACTTGCTTTGACTGATTGAGGGGGTAGTCGAAGGCTTGCAGCACGGCAGCAGTTTGAGGAATCGCTGCTTTATGGTTTTTTTGCTTTGGCTGGTGGAAGGGTTACCTGAAATCACCAACCATAGCACAAGAGTTAGATACACATACTGTGATATACACACACACACATGCCTATAAAGTCATGCAACGGACAGATTCAACAACAGACGGATTCATGCTGCTGACTTGGCTTAGCAAAGGGAGACCACCAACTTCAAGCTGTAGATAGTACCACCTGCTCTCAGCTCACCCCAATAAACACACAGTTTACCTCATAAGACTGATTTGTATCACGGTGCCATATCCAGTACACTGACTTTAGAAATATTAGTGCCGAGTATACCAATTCAAAACATAAACCAGCATTGTACTCACGTTCAGGTTAAACAACCACTTAATGGTAAATGGCCTGTATTTGTATAGCGCTTTACTTGGTCCTAAGGACCCCAAAGCGCTTTACACTATACACAGTCATCCACCCATTCACACACACATTCACACACTGGTGGTAATTGAAAGCAATTTGCAAGAAGGGTGAACAGAAAAACAAACCCAGCCAGAGCCCATAACATCTACCAGAGATTGTTTTGTATGTCACGAAATGGATATTAGTAGACGTAAAACACATTGGCACAGATAAACCTGGGTACTTACTGCATAGAAGTCCACATATCCCTTTAAGGAGGACCCCAGCAGTCTGAGGGATGAAGTAGGACATGATGGACTGAAAACCAACACAACCACAGCACCCCCACTGATTTATCTCGCCTTTGTTATGTCTCACCCTGTTATCTCTCTGCTCTGTGGAGCGTCAGGGGCTCTTGCCCTCCTGACAACATGTGGCTCTGGCATCATTTGCAACCAGAACAAGCAGAGCATGCTCTCCAAGCATACCAGATTCTTCTATCGAGCAGTCTCACAGAGGCTCAGCCATAGGCACAAGGGTCTGCTTGTGGGCAAGTGTGTTTTTTTTTGTTGCAAACAGGTTCATCAGCTGACAACAATGCAGACATAACTATCAAATGCTTAACAACCAATGAAATGTGCAAAAATAAGTCAGAAAATGTCCAGTGTAACCCACAAAAGATTAATCATGGAGTAAGTGGAGCCATAAAATGAATGAATAAATTAGTGACCTTTATGATATTTTAATATCTTAACTTCCAGAAACCTTCAGAACAGCTATTAAATGGACCTTGAGATGAGTGTTTCATTACCTACTTGTAATTTCTTCATAGAGTATTGTTAGTCTAATTAACATATGAGCGTATCGCTCAGTATAGTTCATCATATTCAACATAAATAGCAACTATAGGTGTCAAAGAAGTGACAACAGTGTGCAATACATCAATTTGAAAGAGAGTAAAGAAGCATACCAACAATGTATGGACACTAGTTACACCTAAATTGTTTTTAGTGCTCCAAAACCAGACATTTTTTGTACCGGTAATTATAACACTGCAATCAACATATTAGTACAGCAAAAATGCTAAATCATAACATTTCTATGATTGGAAACTCTCTTGGGTAGCATTCCAGATTACAGTTTGAACTTATCAGCATGTGTTATACTGATATGAAGGCCAAAACAGAGACACAAACAAACGGAAATGAACAAAAAAAATTGCTGTGATATCTACTGCCTGTGCTCCACATGGAACACTGAGTTTTAAATACTTGTGAGACCCATAAAAAGCCAAATCTGCTGGAGACTGTCAGTGATTAGATGTGCTTGTTTAGAGACACATTTTCCTGGCTCCCTTTTAAAGCCCTCGCTCCATCTTTGTTATTTTGTCTGTATTTTTGTCCTTTTCTGGCGTTAACATTTCTTGTTCTGATGTCTCAGTAAACGTGCTTTAGATGTCATGGATATGATTCTCCTGAAATAGAGATATTTGATCTCAGAGGCAGTAACCTTAATATGCACACATATCTATCTATCTATCTATCTATCTATCTATCTATTATCCTCCATACTAACAGAGTCCTATGTCAAAAACAAGTAGGTTACTCTACTCCTTGAGCTACTGAAGTGACACGTAATCAATTTGTTCTCTAGTCTTTGAAGTTAAAATTGTTTTTTGAGTGGCACTAACAATGAGACCAGAACTTCTTTCATTCTGGCCTGAGTAGGCAGAAAAGTAAAAAAACACTGTTCCTTATTGTGCAGCATCACAATGCTCTTACCCAGCATGCCCTGTAGTGATGCAATTAGAGCGCGATAGTTTCCCTCAGGGCACACTGACAGACCATCACAACACTTCAGTAAATAAGAGAACAGCTCTATTTTTAGTCAAATGGTGGCAGCACATTTTTGGCAATATTTAGTAACTTTTGAAGGAACTTCCTAAACTTGAGAAATCTGAGGATTTTCTCAAGGAATGCAGAAAATCACGTGTAAGCCCTGAACCACAGGGAAGACAGCAAGCATTACAGATACACTGTACTGCTTAGTGTATCTGCAAGCCCAACACTGGGACTTTTAGTTATGATCTCTAGGAGTGAAGCCACGCAGAGCTACATTTTAAAAGTGGTTCAGTTAGTTCCCCAAGCACCTTTAGTTTCAAATGAGTCCGGGGACCTTTACCTTTACTTTCCACTTCTCCTTCCTCTTTTTCTTCTAAACTGCAATCAAGCTAGTTAGTAAGGTTGGAGGCAAAAAAAAACCCCCAAAAACAAAAGAGAGAGAGAGAATGATGCTCAAAATCAGTGCAGCAGAGGAATTTCCCAAAATGCCTCCACTGTTACAGCCTTGCTGTCTGGTAAAAGCTTGACTGTTCCAAACAGCACGGTCCCAGTCTGCCATGCAGCCTTAAAAATGTGTGGCCTCAGGGTGCGCTGGTGGCACTGTGGTTAAGACACATTTCACATAGCTGCAACCTGCTGGTTTAATTCCTTTATTGCATATAATAGCCCTCTGTCTCCCTCCCCCATTCTGTATCTGCTTCACTACTGTACACCATCTAAAAATGTTAAAATGCCCTAACCTGCTCGCCCACAAGAGAAAAAAAAAAGGAAAAGGAAATCAGCACTCTTTAAGCCGAGGCGTAGACACGCCTGAAGACACCACAAGGGTGGCCTTTCTCAGACTTTCTAAAACTCTCCAGAGAACACTGTAAAGCTCTTCATGATGAACAAACTGAGTTTTTCTTTAAATCAAAACAATGAGAATATTTTAAAATGCAGGTCCTCGTCGCATTAATAAATGTCACGTATAGCCTGTGGCTGATTATAATGAACGAGGTACTGAATGGGCTGCAGTTTTAATACTTTTGAACTTATGTGTGACATAGAGAGACACAGATACACCAAGCATACACCAAGCCTCATAAAAAAGATCTCTCTCTCTCACACACGCACATAGACACACACACACACTACACAGGGCTGTAAATGGGTGTGACAGACTGAACAGCTAGGCAGTGAAAGAATTAGGCTAAAACTACTTCATGTTAACCTCAAACACAGAAACCCACCATGAATACATATGCAGACGCCTGCCTCTCCAGGTAAGTGTTCTCTTCCAGCTGTCCCCTGACTATATTTATCAATTTAACCCTTTCCGTGCCTCTTTTTTTCTTTTGAATAATTTCTCTTACCTGTCATAGAAATGTCGATGAGCCCCAGAAAGTGCATCAGTTTGAGGGAACTGCAGACCACCAGGAGGATACCCACAGTCTGCAGCCCCTCCACCTCCCACTTGTCTTGGAAGAACAGATGCATCCTTCCTCTCCCTCTTTTCCTATCACCAAAAATCTTTCTCTTGCCTAGGGGCAACCGTGCCCCCCTCCCTCAGTTTCCAGCCCAGAATGCAATGTCTTTTTCTTCAGCCTCTCAGTCTCCAGCTATATCCCGGCGTTCAGCCATCCTAACTCCGCACAGCTCCCCACCCGCTGTCTTCACTGAAGGTAGATTGTTATTCTCCTCGTTTCTTCTTCGAGAGTGGTAAGTGCGTGGCAGCAGGAATTTCGACTTGCTACTCCACCCCCACCTCCTCTGAGGCTGTCAAAGGTGGTTTAAGTTCCAGGTGAACTTCGGACAATGCACTGTGTATGTCCTGGCAGGTTGGTGGCAATTGTTTTCTGACTCTCTCTGGTTTTCTTGCTGCTGACTCAAACTCTCTGTTCTTTCTGCCTGTCCTCCCTCTCTATCTTGCCTTACCTCCGTCACTCTCCTACTGCTGTGTCCCTCCCCATGTTTAATTGGGTCAGTGATGGAAGTGAAGGGAGGAAAGAGGGGGATGAGAAATTGAGGCGGGGGAAGGATAGAGTAGTACTACTTGTAGGTAAAGAGGGGAAACAGAGAGGGGGAGACATGCGAGAGACAGATGAGAAGAATGAATGGAGAGATGAGAGGGGAAGATAAAGGAGGGGCGAGAAGGAATGGTCAAAGACAAATAACGATAAGAATAGCAAATGCAAAAAAAAAAAACCCAAAACAAATAATCACTCCAAAAGAGGCAGCTATGGGAAATGGAAGGATAAATTTAGGCAGAGAAGAAGCAGGAAAAGACTTAACATAAGGGAGGGGAAAAACTGCGATGACAGAGTGGCAAAGCATCTGACCCAGCAACGCCTGTGGACAAACTCACAGATGTGACAATCTCCCCTGAGTATAAAGTCAACACACAAACACACAGCCTGGAGGTGAAATCTGGCTATCAAATATTGCATTTGAACTCCAGCGCAGCGTGGAACATTTCAGCTGGAATGAGATCTATTGCTGTCACATCTGGCACACTGACATCCAAGCACAGACAGACACACTGAAAAAAACCCAAAAGAACAACACCCTCCCCCTAGAAAATAATGGATTTAATGTACCAGAGTGGATAGGAAACTGATTTAGACACTTAACCTTTCAACAAGGTGCACAAGGCATGAGTGAGTACAACAGGTAAGAAAGTTATGAGCCTTCTAAAGCACAGTGTATAATGGATACATGATCAAGGAAATTATATTTCTAAGTGGAATTGAGATATCCCAGCTGAACCGATATTGGATCCAGTCATGACCTTATTACTATAAGTGGATCTGTTATTGGCAAGATGCGGCCAATCCACACTAA